AAAAACCTGTTTTCGCTTTCTCATTATGGGGTATTGTGTGTAGATTGATGAGGATTTTATTTATTTCATCCATTTTAGAATAAGGCTGTAACGTAACAAAATGTGGAAAAAGTCAAGGGGTCTGAATACTTTCCGAATGCACTGTACATGACCTACAGCATGGTCAAGCAAGTAAATTTTCCAGAAATTGTCTGACCACTAAACAACTATTGCTTTAGAACTAAAGAGAGTTACCGCAAGTCGCAAAGAAAACAGGGGCTGCCTCCACTATTCCAGCACCATTTCAACATCATCAAGTCACCTCTGCTTAATCTAATACAGTGACAACTAAAAGATTCCAAAAACAATTTAGTCCAATCAACATAAGCTAAATATGATGTGGCTGTCCATGGTTCTGATTTGTGCGTGTGTGTGTGCATTCGTGCAAGTAGAAAAACATGTTGACTCACCCTACTTGTAGAGAAACGGCAATGCCATCGTCCTCTCTTTCATGTTGACAAAACGGTCTATCACTCTCTCATACAGTACACACTTTTATTTTATGTTGTCGTAGGCTACCTGGCTAAAATGCTCGCTCGTTAGCCTAACTTCTATTCTATTGTTTTAGCTAGTTAACAATAGCCTTCTACATCTAGCTACATATGGAACTTCCATCATCTCAGGGCGGGGGCACAACAATGTATTAAAGTTTAAGATGAGGGAGGACTTTTTTTTCATGAGCATGGCCTAATCTCTATTACAACTTATTGGATGACACATTCATAATCCATTCACCCAGTTCAATGTAACAGCAATAGATTTAGGCTACTACATGATACTCAAATGTTCCTTATACCCATCATGAGGTTACTACAACCTAGCCTATGAATTAAAGTTTACAACGTAGGTGCACACAGGTCGAGAGACAAATTTGAGGTGACAGACAGTGACATTCAATACCACCTTGCACACTCTTGCCTGCATCTTGCTGATATAGGGTGTAATCATGAGTCCAACAGTTGCAAACGAGAGTTTCTATTGGACAAATTCAGGTATGTTTATCCATGTTTTGTTCCATTTGCTTCCATTTAAGAAACATTTTTTAACAGAATCGGCGGAATGAATACACCCCTGATCACGCGTAAACACAGTTCACTTTCATAGCAGCCACTTTGTATTCCTTGTCGCATCTATGCACTCTCCTCCACTCACCTCTTCCCTTCGCTTTTGGACTTCAGTGCACAACACATCAGCTGTATGTGACCAGGCGAAAAAACCTTTCCAAGCCAAACCGCTGCACACAGCCTACATCATTGTCACCATATTAGCTAAAGTAACGTCATAGTCAGCATAGCTTTTAGAACTAACACATTAGTAAACCCGCTACAATCATGCAGTAACGTTACAGTGTAGTCAGTAAGCAGTTACACCGGCAGCCCCGGTGGCAATATATTAGTCATACCAAAAGCTTACCTTGACTTGGAAGAGTTCCAGTGTTGTGTTGGAAAGTCATAGCCAGCTAGCTAACATAGCATCCCTCTGTTTGAGCAGGGTGTTTTAGTAGGCTAAACTAGCTAGCTGCATTTGCTAGCTAAGTAAGTGAAACTGTTTTTTTTTGTTGATTTTTTCAAAATTGTTCAACTATTGTCTTTCTCTTTGAGTCAACTACTCACCACATTTTATACACTGCAGTGCTAGCTAGCTGTAGCTTATGCTTTCAGTACTATATTCATTCTCTGATCTTTTGATTGGGTGGACAACATGTCAGTTCATGCTGGAAGAGCTCTGAAGTTGTCATAATTACTGTGTAAGTCTATGGAAGGGGGTGAGAACCATGAGCCTCCTAGGTTTTGAATTGAAGTCAATGTACCCGGAGGAGGACGGAAGCTAGCTGTCCTCCGGCTACAACATGGTGCTACCCTACAGAGTGCTCTTGAGGCTACTGTAGACCTTCTTTGCAAAATAGTGTGTTTTAATCAATTATTTGGTGACGTGATTATATTTAGTATAGTTTTATCTAAAAAACAATTTGAATTTTTATGAAATTCACTGAGGAGGATGGTTCTCCCTTCCTCCTCTGAGGAGCCTCCACTGGTCTGATGCTAACCTTGTAGATGTAGATCTTAATTTGATCACTCTTTTGTTGCTGAGAATTTTCCTGCATAGCAGGGAATGCAAACTTGTAGTGTATTTGAGGTTTAAAAAGGCTTCTAGCCTCCCGAGTGGCGCAGCGGTCTAAGGCACTGCGTCGCAGTGCTAGAGGCATCACTACAGACCCAGAGTTGTCCGGGTTAGGGGAGGTTTGGCCGGCCGGGATGTCCGGGGAGGGTTTGGCCGGTCGACTTCGGTCACCAGTTGTACGGTGTTTCCTCCGACACATTGGTGCGGCTGGCTTCCAGGTTAAGCGGCCAGTGTGTCAAGAAGCAGTGCGGCTTGGCAGGGCCGTCTTTCGGTGGACGCATGGCTCTCGACCTTCGCCTCTCCCGAGTCCGTAGGGGAGTGGCAGCGATGGGACAAGACTGTAACTACCAACTGGATATCACGAAATTGGGGAGAAAAAGGGGTAAAAAGTACAACAAGAAAAAAGTTTGTAGTTTCCACTTAAAAATGTCTGACTTGATTTGCCCTAACGAAAAATGTATCAACCCCTACAAACAATGTCCATTAATTATAATCCACATAATAATTTACATTTCCTGTTGTTGCAGGATTATTTTCCTGCTGTAGCAAACTGGCTCAAATTAAGATCCTACATCTGTAAGTGAATTTAATATCAACTTATAAAGACCAAATGTGTAAACCGCTTCTGTTGTATTTATGACCAGGACAAGCAGTGGGAATAACCACCATGCTAATGTGTGTTATGATGATATGTATCATGCTAATCCAATGATGATGAGAATGACTCCCGAGTGGCGCAGTGGTCTAAGGCACTGCATCGCAGTGCTAGCTGTGCCACTAGAGATCCTGGTTCGAGTCCAGGCTCTGTCGCAGCCGGCCGCGACCGGGAGACCCATGGGTGGCGCACAATTGGTCCAGCGTCATCCAAGGTAGGGGAGGGTTTGGCCGGCAGGGATGTGAGTTCGTTTCCCACAGGGGGCCAGTATGAAAAAAATAAAATAATACATGTATGCATCCACTAACTGTAAGTTGCTCTGGATAAGAGCGTCTGCTAAATGACTAAAATGTAAATGTGTGTTGTGTGTTGTGTGTTGTGAGAGAGAGAGAGATGAAAGTCATCCTACACCATGTCTACAGAGCTGAGAATCCCTGGGTAAAACCATAGAGTCTCTTCCTGCCAAGGCACCCCTCTGGCATACGGCCACAGAGGAAAATTACTCTCTGAATTCACATTGTTCTCGTTTGTGTTTCTTCAACGATGAATAGTGGTTGGCTTTGTGCAACTCTGGACAGGCCAAACCCGAGAGCCAGCGGAGCCAAACGGATTAAAACATGATCTCACTGATAAAGGGGCAAACACTAAAGTGTGCCAGTGAACAATGCTCCAAAATGTCCTGAGCCAGCCGTCACAATGGACACATTTATCCACAGTCTCCAGCACAGTATTATTCAACAGTAATCCCTCCTGAATCACCACCCAAATGCACCACCACTACAGAATACAAACCAGAGCATTAGAACAGGCAGAAGTAAAGAATACAAAGGTTTAAAGCTGTGTTCCATGCTGCGTGGCCCACCACTCATAGTCTGTCTATCATTTTGAATGTATTAAAGTAATTGGTGCAGACAGTCAATCAAGTCTTCTCTCCTGTGTGAAGACAGACAGTCAATGGAGGCTAGCTAGCCACATCAGGACTAAGTTACGGGGAGAGGGTGCTTGAGCACCGTAGCCTACAGCTAGGTTTAAATGATTATTGATATTCTACAGAAAATGACTTGTAAAATGCCATTATTGTCACCATAAATTACTACATAAAATGAATACATTACTTTATGAAAAAATGCATGACATCATAAAGACACAGATGTTACAATGACGACATTATGACCCAACTCTAAATAATGGATTCATAATCACGGCATGCTTATTCTATGGCTGCCACCAGAGATACCATAAAAAAGCTATTCAACTTGAGAAAAAGGCTGAGAGACACTGATACATCTCCACAGCCTTCCTTGGAACTCTCCCCCTTTCACTTTCACACAAGAGAGAGTACTTGATTGACTGTGTCTTCACACAAGAGAGAGTAATTGATTGACTGTCTTCACACAAGAGAGAGTACTTGATTGACTGTGTCTTCACACAAGAGAGAGTACTTGATTGACTGTGTCTTCACACAAGAGAGAGTAATTGATTGACTGTCTTTACACAAGAGAGAGTACTTGATTGACTGTGTCTTCACACAAGAGAGAGTACTTGATTGACTGTGTCTTCACACAAGAGAGAGTACTTGATTGACTGTGTCTTCACACAAGAGAGAGTACTTGATTGACTGTGTCTTCACACAGGAGAGAGGACTTGATTGACTGTCTGTCTGTCTGTCTTCACACAGGAGGGAGGACTTGATTTACTATCTGTCTTCACACAGGAGAGAGGACTTGATTGACTGTCTGCCTGTCTTCACACAGGAGAGAGGACTTGATTGACTGTCTTCACACAGAAGAGAGGACTTGATTGACTGTCTGCCTGTCTTCACACAGGAGAGAGGACTTGATTGACTATCTGTCTTCACACAGGAGAGAGGACTTGATTGACTATCTGTCTTCACACAGGAGAGAGGACTTGATTGACTGTCTATCTTCACACAGGAGAGAGGACTTGATTGACTGTCTGTCTTCACACAGGAGAGAGGACTTGATTGACTGTCTTCACACAGGAGAGAGGACTTGATTGACTGTCTGTCTTCACACAGGAGAGAGGACTTGATTGACTGTCTGTCTGTCTGTCTCTTCAAGTAGCAGGGAGAAGTAATTCAAGGAGCAGAAAGAAGGGAAAGGAGGAGAAAGAGAAAGAGAGAGGAAAAGAAGAGTCACAGCTGTATGGGTTGTATGAGTTACTATTGCAGCAGCTTACTGTCTGCCTGAAGCTTACTGTCTGCCTGAAGCTTACTGTCTGCCTGAAGCTTACTGTCTGCCTGAATGAGAGGGAAATGGGGGGAAAGAGAGCCAGAGAAGAGAGATAGAGACAGAAAAAGAGGAAGACAGAGAGCACTGAGGAGCGAGACAGAGAAAGAACATTCCACAAGAGAGTGGAAATCACTTTAATTACATTTTCAATAATTGTTTCTTTCCAATCTACCACAGAAGCCTGCAATATACAGCGTTGACTGGTATTAGAAACAAAAGTTCAATTTAAAAACCGGGACAATCTCCAATATAAATCTGTACACATTACAAAGACTTATCCTTAATCCTTAAAGACAAAACCATATCTTCTGAGAAATATGGCCAATAAAAATGGGGAAAGCAGATAAAGAGACAGAGGGAATGAAATAGAGATAAAGAGACAGAGGGAATGAAATGAAGACAAAGAGACAGAGGGCATGAAATGGAGATAAAGAGACAGAGGGAATGAAATGGAGATAAAGAGACAGAGGGAATTAAATGGAGATAAAGAGACAGGGGGAATGAAATGGAGATAAAGAGACAGAGAATGAAATGAAGACAAAGAGACAGAGGGAATGAAATGGAGATAAAGAGACAGGGAATGAAATGGAGATAAAGAGACGGAGAATGAAATGGAGATAAAGAGACAGAGAATGAAATGGAGATAAAGAGACAGAGGGAATGAAATGGAGATAAAGAGACAGAGGGAATGAAATGGAGATAAAGAGACAGAGGGAATGAAATGGAGATAAAGAGACAGAGGGGATGAAATGGAGATAAAGAGACAGATAATGAAATGGAGATAAAGAGACAGAGGGAATGAAATGGAGATAAAGAGACAGAGGGAATGAAATGGAGATAAAGAGACAGAGGGAATGAAATGGAGATAAAGAGACAGGGGGAATGAAATGGAGATAAAGAGACAGAGGGAATTAAATGGAGATAAAGAGACAGGGAATGAAATGGAGATAAAGAGACAGGGGGAATGAAATGGAGATAAAGAGACAGAGAATGAAATGGAGATAAAGAGACAGAGGGAATGAAATGGAGATAAAGAGACAGGGAATGAAATGGAGATAAAGAGACAGAGGGAATGAAATGGAGATAAAGAGACAGGGGGAATGAAATGAAGATAAAGAGACAGAGGGAATGAAATTGAGATAAAGAGACAGGGGGAATGAAATGAAGATAAAGAGACAGGGAATGAAATGAAGATAAAGAGACAGAGGGAATGAAATAGAGATAAAGAGACAGAGGGAATTAAATGGAGATAAATAGACAGAGGGAATGAAATGGAGATAAAGAGACAGAGGGAATTAAATGGAGATAAAGAGACAGAGAATGAAATGGAGATAAAGAGACAGAGGGAATGAAATGGAGATAAAGAGACAGAGGGAATGAAATGGAGATAAAGAGACAGAGAATGAAATGGAGATAAAGAGACAGAGGGAATGAAATGGAGATAAAGAGACAGAGGGAATGAAATGGAGATAAAGAGACAGAGAATGAAATGGAGATAAAGAGACAGGGAATGAAATGGAGATAAAGAGACAGGGGGAATGAAATGAAGATAAAGAGACAGAGGGAATGAAATGGAGATAAAGAGACAGGGGGAATGAAATGAAGATAAAGAGACAGAGGGAATGAAATGAAGATAAAGAGACAGAGGGAATGAAATGGAGATAAAGAGACAGAGGGAATGAAATGGAGATAAAGAGACAGGGAATGAAATGAAGATAAAGAGACAGAGGGAATGAAATAGAGATAAAGAGACAGAGGGAATGAAATGGAGATAAAGAGACAGAGGGAATGAAATGGAGATAAGAGACAGAGGGAATTAAATGGAGATAAAGAGACAGGGAATGAAATGGAGATAAAGAGACAGGGAATGAAATGGAGATAAAGAGACAGAGGGAATGAAATGGAGATAAAGAGACAGGGAAAGAAATGGAGATAAAGAGACAGAGGGAATGAAATGGAGATAAAGAGACAGAGAATGAAATGGAGATAAAGAGACAGGGAATGAAATGGAGATAAAGAGACAGAGGGAATGAAATGGAGATAAACAGACAGAGGGAATGAAATGGAGATAAAGAGACAGGGAATGAAATGGAGATAAAGAGATAGGGAATGAAATGGAGATAAAGAGACAGGGAGTGAAATGGAGAGAAAAAAAACAAGCAGCCTCTGAAAATTGATCAAAGTATCATAAAGGAACCAGATAAATAATGATGTCTCAGTCAAGTCAATTACAGTATACAGTACTAGTACAACACAATACACTGATTACATCACACAAACTATAAGCCTCCTAAAAGCCTTCCCTTTCGTGTCTAGTCCAGCAGAGCCTAAAGCAGATCAGATCAGTGACCTATGACCCGGCATCCCACAGTCCAACCAGCAGGCAGACTCTCAACGGCAGAGAATGACACTCACACACTCACCCACACACACACAGTCTGTCTGATGCTTATAACCTGATGGTGGTTTCTGTCAGCGGTTTCTGTCCCTCCTCACCTGATTCAGTGCTTCATTGGTTTTAATTAGCAATGTTACTACCAGACCAGAATAATCACTTATGCAAACGAGCTCTAACTGTTTCTGTAATCCAGAATGTTTAATTCATGCGCCCTCTGCCACCCCCGGTATCATGAATCTTGGCCTCCCGCACCACGGCCAAGGTTACAGAGGGCCAGATACTTCCATCAGTCAATCTGTCCTCCCTCCCTGTCCCGGCCCTGCAACTCTCTGAGACCGCCTGCAAAGAGTTCTGAGAATCTGAAAAAGTGCTTCACTGGGCAAATTGGGACTGTCAGAGAAATAGAGAGAGACCTCTGTCGTCTGACCTCAAACTCAGGTAATATAATCTTCATTGACCCCTATATCCTACCACACTGTGTTGAAAACTGTGACCATGTTGCATCTGTGACTGCGTGTGGCTCTCAGTGATACTGTATGTTTATTTATACTAAGGATGGAGGTCATCGTCATGCATAATTCAATGTTTATTTTAGTCTAATGCTTGACTTTATTCCCCAGTGAGGCTGCTTGAGGTATGTTTAATGTCAGACCATGTCAGACCATGTCTACAGTTGAAAGGGGAAAGGGGGTAATGGGCCATTGAGATTTGGTTTAATGTGGTTCAGTAAAAATAAGAAAGCACTTTTTTAGTTTTTCATGTGTGCTCCTTAAGGGTGTGTGTGTGTGTGAATGTGTATGTGTATGTGTGTGTGTGTATGTGTGTGACTGTGTGTGTATGTGTGTGTGTGTGTGTGTGTGTGACTGTGTGTGTGTCTGTGTGTGCACCTTGAGGGAGTGTGTGGGTGTGTGGGTGTGTAGTACTGTAGCAGTGGTGGCTTGTGGCACTTTAAATGGGGAGGACGGGCTTATAGTAATGGCTGGAACGGAATATATGGAATGGTATCGAACTCATCAAACACCTGGTTTTCCATGTGTTAGATACCATTCCATTCACTCCATGCCATCCATTACTATGAGCCGTCCTCTATGTTCCACTCTCTCCTGCACACTGTGTGATGCATGTTCACACTGCTCCTCAGCCTTTGATTATACTGCCTGGCCTTCTGTACTTTACGGCTGGTCTGTCAGAGTAGGAGAGGCTTCATGCCACCAGGGGCTCTCAGTGACTCTGATCCCTGCCGAGGTGAGGGAATCTGGGCATAGGAGATCTGAGGGACCCCCTGGATCTCCCACCATGGGGGTACCACAGCGAAGTGGAAGTGGGGCGAGTGTTAAGCAGGGGGTTGGGCTAAGGGCTTGGACATTCGACTGCTTTTTCACCAAGGAATATTGGTGACTCATTTTAGGAAACTAGGCGTATGTCGCGCGTCACTACTTCACAGGAGAGCCATTTGAACTTTTAAAAAATCTAAATGCATTTTCTGGCAGAAATGCCTTCTGGAACATGTGAACTTTCATGTGCCTCAATAACAAACTTGTATGCCATCTGTAAATACGAATAAAATTGTTAAATTACGAGCCTAGTTGGTTTAGCACAGAAAAAGACAGCAACCTTCCCGCTAGCCATGATTGGCTGAGATAATGAGTGAGCTGGACATGCCGAGAGATGAGTTCAGTTTGGTCTGCCATGTAGCACGCTTCTGTCTATAATATGAGCTGGTCAGTATGTGTAGGTAATCCTTTCTAACGCAGCTTGTTTGAAAGATATCACGTAGTAGACCTGCATAAGTGTTGCTCTCCACTTTCTGGAGGACCGTGTTCTGAAATCAGTGGAATTAGAGTATGATAGCTAAGGAGATGGAGAAAATGCTGGCGTTTGATTGCAAATATGCAGACGTAGTCAAAAAGAGAACACACAGAAGCCTGTGGTATCAAACACCTGTCTCTGGATTGCATCTTCAAACTAAGGACAACAATGGCATCCGTGACAGAGAGGGAGAAGCATCCATCCATGTATACGGGTAAGAGAGTCTAGCTAGCTACATTTTCAGATATTACATGTTTCAAATGTTGTCAGAAAGTAATTTTCATTTCAAGTTAAAGTGTACTGTTAGCTAGCTAGTTAACGTTAGCTGGCTGGCTAGCTAGCTAACGTTACATGTATGATCTGTGTAGTAATATTAGTAGTATCTCAGAGTCATTTGCATTGCTAGTTACAGACTAATGTTAGCTAGCTAACATTGAACCTGGTTGGTTAGCTACCTGCAGATTCATGCAGGGAAATAACGTTATGAGTTGGGATTATTATACCTCTTTAAGGAATACCTGGAATAGTATAACAGTAATCCTTCTACCCCCCCATAAAAAATAAAAAAAAGGGGGTGGTTGTCCCACTGGCTATCCTAAGTTGAATGCACCAATTTGTAAGTCGCTCTGGATAAGAGCGTCTGCTAAATGACTTAAATGTAAATGTAAATGATGGTTCATTGTTTAGCTAGCTAGCTACATGTCTAAACAAAAGTCTCCGCTATGCAAGTAACTATTCAATAGAATGTTTATGATGTCACTGCTACAACTGTCGATAGATGTAGCTGATACATTTGCTCTGGCTATCTACTCCGATTTCAGAGCACTCTTGTCTGAGTGTGCCAGAGCGCAGAATAACTGACGAATTTACGAACACTCAACACCCGTTGAATATGGCCGGTGTCAGTAAACGTTGGGGAAAAAGCGTAATTAAATTGTTGCCAGCAGCAGAGTTGCAGTCACCAACGCTCTGGATAACATAAAAACAGCCTAACCAGCTCTGCTAAGGCGAGTAAAATGGTCAGAGTGAACTGTTCTAGCCAACTTTAGCCAGTTAGCTTGGGTGCTTAACTGCTGTTGTTAGGGCAGAACGCTCGGATCAACCCTACTTTTCGGCCAGAGTGTCCAGTGTGCGCTTTGAACGCTCCGAGAGCGAAACGCTCAGAATTTACAAACGGCCAGTCTGACAACGCTCTGAGTTTATGAACACCCAGAGCACACTCTGGCACTCCAGATTAAATTTACAAATACACCCGTAGTATAAGCCAGCCTTTAGTCTTGAAATCTTTGGTTGTTTAGTACATGGCCTCACATGTGAATCCTTAAAGAGATGGGTGGGCTAAAGCTTAAAATGGTCTGAACGATGCTGAATGGGTGTAGACAAAAAAGAGCTCTCCAGTAGGTACCAAAACATTCAAGGACCATTTTCACAAAAGTGAGGTTACAAGTTTATCAACTTTCAAAGCAGAATAACTTTCCCATTGTTCCTCAACTGTAGTGTATGATATACCATTTTCTAGCTCTGAGTCTTTACTTTTCTCCCATGTAACAAACACAATTTCAAATGTTGCTACAAAAGACCGAATCGAGCCAGTCGGTCATTTAAATGATAGTCATTTAAATGAATAGCGGATTACAAAGTGAATTGCAAACCTTATTTTGAATTGAAATCAATTGTCCACTTCTACACTTGAGTTTGAACTGACCCTAGCCTCGTCGCCTTCCCTAAAATGGGAGGCGTGACAATGTGGTGAGTTTGGAGGTATGGCAACAAGAGACTAAACTGACCCCAACCCTGATGGGCACTACAGCTGCTACAGTACAACAGACTGACCCCAACCCTGATGGGCACTACAGCTGCTACAGTACAACAGACTGACCCCAACCCTGATGGGCACTACAGCTGCTACAGTACAACAGACTGACCCCAACCCTGATGGGCACTACAGCTGCTACAGTACAACAGACTGACCCCAACCCTGATGGGCACTACAGCTGCTACAGTACAACAGACTGACCCCAACCCTGATGGGCACTACAGCTGCTACAGTACAACAGACTGACCCCAACCCTGATGGGCACTACAGCTGCTACAGTACAACAGACTGACCCCAACCCTGATGGGCACTACAGCTGCTACAGTACAACAGTTGTTGAAGTCTCCTATTTTCTTATTCTTAAATCCTGGTCTTCACTGATCTGAGAGGGTCGGGTGAAGGGCTGGCCCTGATTGGGCGTGTGATTGGGCGAAGTGCCGGCCCTGATTGGGCGTGTGATTGGGCGGAGGGCCAGCCCTGATTGGGCGTGTGATTGGGCGAAGGGCCGGGCCCTGATTGGGTGTGTGAAAATTACATGACAGTCCCAGAGCACAGCAGACAATAATCTCCTAACCTCCCTAGATCCCACAGTTTATATACAAGGTGTTTACCTGTTTATTATGGCATGTTTGTATTGACAGTGTGGACAGATACAGAGATGTGTGTGTGCGTGTGCGTGTGTGTATTCCTCCAAGTTCCTGAGCGTTGTTAAATAGAGGATAAACATTTGGTGAAGATTCAAGCACACAACACATTTTAAGGTGTACTGGGGAAAAACTAAACAGGTTTTTATTTGCCAAAGCAACATTTTCATCAGGGTTTACATAAGGTTTAATTTCAACAAACTTTTCTGCAGTTGCTACATACAGTACATTTTATAAATTAATGGTATCCATTGATTCTTGAAGAATATAACTTATAAATGCCTCATGAGCTTAGTTCAACTGTTGTACCCCATCAGAACCCAAAATAAAATATTGTTTTACTCTGATGTTTGTAAACAAAGTAAATGTAAACAAACACTGTATAGCTTCAAAACATGGTTACAACTATCATTTTGATATCATGGATGGTCAGTCCTTGCATCCATAGCTCTGCCTATGAATTTGAGAGTGGTTACATTTCTCCAGCCCCATCCCTCAGCCTTTTACCAAAACAGTGGCGGGGAGTACGCTTTCTTATTGTTTCAACTGCTGATTGCCGTTTTAATGTTCAGGGATATAGTCACAATGCAACCATACTTTTTCTGTTTATGCCCTCAAAATATGCAGCAGCGCTCAGCTTGAGACAACTTTGATTAGACAAACTGATTAGATAAAAACTAATTTCACCCCGTCTGAAAAGATGCAGCCATTCACATCGAAGTGAACTCTCCCCTCTTTTTTTACACTTTGAGAGGAGAGGGACAGAGGGTATGGTTCTCCACAGACATTGACATTGGGACTGAGTCAGGTTCAGGTGAGACAGAGATGTCAGGATACAACAGGAGAATGTCATATTCTGTCTGAAACCACCAGAGACACAGGCTAACCAAGATGTACTGCAGGCCAACCAAGACGCACTGCAGGCCAACCAAGACGCACTGTAGGCCAACCAAGATGTACTGCAGGCCAACCAAGATGCACTGCAGGCCAACCAATATGTACTGCAGGCCAACCAAGATGTACTGCAGGCCAACCAAGATGTACTGCATAACAACATGATGCTATAGCAGGTTATCGTTAACAGAAATAAAAGGTAGGAGAAGAAAGTATACTCACCACGCCCCATTGGCTCAGACATGCGCATCCTGTCCTGCTGCTGCCTTCCCATTGGTTGTGAGCACCCCAGCGACCGGTAGTCCTCGGCTGTGATTGGTGCAGTCTGGTGGACAGCATCTCCTGCACTCTCCTATTGGGTGGAAGTGATGGAGTTTTCAATTCAATTACTCATAAGTATCTATTTTATTTTTTAAACAAGACAAAATGTTTTTTCAATTATGAAGTGAGTGATTGGTTAATGAGACCATAAGGGAATACCAAACGATGTTCACGGAGAATCAAAGCCCTTAGAGTTTAACTCAGGCCAAAGAACCGGCTACTAATTGCACTTAAATTATTAGTGAATTCAAGTAATTAAAGTCGTAGAGAAAAAAAAAAGTTATAATTTTCATCCAATGATATGCATTATTTCCTAAGAGAGCTTTTAATTTAACTTTTAGAATTGTGTCTCTCTTACATTCAATACGTCCAAACTGACATTCTCAAAATGGCGGCTCCTCAGCTCCTGCATTCGGATGTGGTTTTCCTGGTATTTCTCCTCAGCAAGTCTCCTGTAGTGTTACATTATAATATACAGGTAACTGCCAAAATAATGGAAACACTTGAGTTAAATGAGGGATACAAAATATATTGAAAGTAGGTGCTTCCACACAGGTGTGGTTCCTGAGTTAATTAAGCACTTAACATTCCATCATTCTTAGGGTATAAAAATGCTGGGCAAGCCATTATTTTGTGTTACAGGAGGGGGTCACAGTTCCGGAGCGACCCACTAGGTGTCATCCTCCCACAACCTTAGGCACCTCCTCACTCACAGTCTGGACTAATCATGATCATATTGGTGTCACCTGTGTCTACCTGTTCAACTGTGTATTTATGCCCTCACTTCCCTTGCTCAGTTTTCTCTGCTAGTTTCACTATGCCTAGCAGTACTAATCAGTGTCTGATCGCGGGACGTATGGACAGGTACGTGAGAAGTGTTCTCCCGGTTTATTTATTATTTCAGTCACAGTTAGTATTTCGTATTTTGGCTGTCAGCCTGTTTTTTGGAGTCTTATTTGCGCCGCCTTTCTTTTTCTTGTAAAGTCTGTTATTTTGTATCCTGGCTTCAGGACCATCAGTAAAGATCCTTGTTTCACCATCTCTGCCTACTGTCAAACCTGCACCGCACCTGGGTCACACCTCACACCAACCCTTACAGAAAACTGAGCCGATATGGACACAGCGGAGGCAGCACAGTATCATAGTACATTGGAACACAGGGTGCCATGCTGAACCAGCACGACCGCAGCCTGCAGCAGATCACTGAGAATCTCCGCCAGCTGACGATCGCCGTGCAGAGCCGGGTGGACACCCGACCAGCCCCGCAGCCGGCAGAGCGGAAGCCGTGTCTCCTGTCTCGCCTGCGACATCGCGGGAACCCCGCCTACCACCTCCGGAGAGGTACGACGGACGTCCAGAGGGCTGCAGGGAATTCCTCACCCAGTGTTCCCGGATATTCAGCCTACAACCCTCCTCCTTCCCGACGGAGCAGGGCCGGGTGGCCTACATTATCACTCTGTTGATGGGTCGGGCCCTTTCCTGGGCTACCGCGGAGTGGGAGAGCCAAACTCCGGCATGCTCCGATTCCTACTTATTCACCCGGGAGCTACGCAAGGTGTTCGACACCTCTCGGGTGGTGTCGGGACACGAGTCCGGGAGGCGGCTCACGGCCTGTCGGCAGGGTGACCGCTCGGTGGCGGACTACTCCATGGAGTTCCGGACCCGGGCTCGAGAGGCAGGATGGGAGGAGGCCGCCCTGGTCATCCTTTACGCTCAGGGGCTATCGGAGGGGATGGAGGACGAACTCTCCTTCAGGGAGCTGCCTGAGCGACTGGACGGCCTCATCAACCTCTCGGTGCGGGTAGACAATAGGCGTCGTTAGAGGGTGCACGAGAGAGGCATGACGCAAGGCACGCCTCCACGTCCCACCATTCAGCCTGGAGAAGCCGGGTAAACCCGAACCAAAACCCCAACTCCAGAGACTCCCAACTTTTCTCCCCGTCAGGGTTCAGTGGGACCGCGCTGCGTGTCGGGCGCATGCACTCGTGGATTCTGGGGCCGCGGGAAACCTGAAGGACGCGGGGCTGGCCCAAGGGTGGAGCGTTCCGTTACTCTCCCTTTCTGAGCCGGTTCCGGTCATGGGCCTGGACGGCCGGCCGTTGGGGTCGGGCTTCATCACCCAGCGCACTGTCCCTGTGCATGTCCGGGTGGCGGGAGGGCTATAGGAGGATATCCAGTTTTTCATTGTGGACTTTCCGGAGTGTCCCCTCATCCTCGGGCACCCCTGGCTGGTCACCCACAAACCCTGGATAGACTGGTCCACGGGGCGGCTCATCCTGAAGGGAGGCTCCGCCCCCGTGTCCCATTCCGGTCTCCACCGACCACATATCAGCCCAGACCACCTACCAGTCCTCACCTCTTCCCCAGGTCCCGCACTCCGAATGGCCTATTGCCATACAGACTCCGTCACCGGCCCAGACCTGGCAGGCGTTCCCCGGGTGTATTGGGATCTGGGGGAGGTGTTTAGTAAGAGGCGTGCCAAGGGCCTACCTCCTCACAGGCCATATGACTGCGCGAACGATCTCCTGCCGGGCGCCATGCCCACATGAGGGCAATTGTTTTCCTTGTCCCGGCTGGAGACGCTGGCCATGAGGGAGTACATTAATGAGGCACTCGTCGAGGGTCACATCCGTCCCTCTACCTCACCCGCGGGCGCGGGCTTCTTATTCGTGGGGAAAAAGGACGGTGGGCAGCGGCCGTGCATTGATTACCGGAAGCTCAATGACATCACGGTTAAGAACCGCTACCCCCTCCCCCTGATGACGACGGCATTCGAGTCATTGCAGGGAGCCCGGGTCTTCACCAAGCTGGACTTATGTAATGCCTACAACCTGGTGAGGATTCGGGAGGGGGACGAGTGGAAGACTGCATTTAATACACCCAGTGGGCATTACGAATACCAAGTCATGCCGTTTGGTCTAGCAACGCGCCTGCTGTGTTCCAGGCATTGGTCAATGATGTGCTCCGGGACCTCCTCGACTACAGCTTCTTCATGTATTTGGATGACATCCTCATATTTTCAAAGGACATGAGTGAACACCAGCAGCACGTTCGGCAGGTCCTCCAATGCCTTTCTCCGTCACCAGCTCTACGTCAAGGCGGAGAAGTGTGTGTTCCACACTGAGACATTCTCCTTCCTGGGGTTCATCGTCACCCAGGGGGACCTACGGATGGACCCAGCCACGTATCCGATCTCACCTGCCATCCGGGGGGCTGAGGTACTACGCCTCCAGCAACCCAGCTACGTGGAGTCAGCGACTGGCGTGGGCAGAGTACGCCCACAAAACCGTTCTCTGCTCGTCCATCGGCCTGTCCCCCTTCCAGTGCCAATACGGGTACCAACCCCCCCCCCCCCCCCCTTATTCCCCGAGCAAGAGTAGGAGGCGGCGGTCCAGTCGGTTCAGGCCCACATCAGTTGCTGGAGGCAGGTACGGGCGGCGCTTAAGCGGGCCTCGGTCAGGTCGGAACATCAGGCCGAACGCAGGCGTCGCCCGGCCCTGGTCTTTTGCCCGGGACAGAGGGTGTGGCTCTCCATGCGGGATCTTCCCCTCCACGTGGAGTCCAGGAAGCTGTCCCCCCCGGTTCGTCAGGCCATTCAGAGTGGTCCGGCGAGTCAACCCAGTGGCCTACCGCCTGCAACTTCCCCCCACTATGCGGGTGCATCCCACTTTCCATGTGTCCCTCCTCAAGCCCGTAGCCACCTGTCCCCTGGCTCCCCCTCCTCGTCCTGTTCCCCCGCTGCACCTCGTCGGAGGGCAGCCGGCTTTTACTGTGGACCGGATCCTGGACTGCCTGCGGGTGGGGAGGAGTCTCCAATTTCTGGTGGACTGGGAGGGTTGTGGGCCGGAGGAGCGGTCGGAGGGACATTCTGGACCCAGGGCTGATAACAACATTCCGTCGCCTCCACCCGGAGGCGCTGAGTTGAACAGCTGGGGCCATTCGTCGGGGGGGGCACTGTTACAGGAGGGGGTCGCAGTTCCGGAGCGACCCACTAGGTGTCATCCTCCAACAACCTTAGGCACCTCCTCACTCACAGTCTGGACTAATCATGATCCTATTGGTGTCACCTGTGTCTACCTGTTCACCTGTGTATTTATGCCCTCACTTCCTTGTGTTCCCTTGCTCAGTTTTCTCTGCTAGTTTCACTATGCCTAGCAGTACTAATCAGTGTCTGATCGCGGGACGTATGGACAGGTACGTGAGAAGTGTTCTCCCTGTTTATTTATTATTTCAGTCACAGTTAGTATTTCGTATTTTGGCTGTCAGCCTGTTTTTTGGAGTCTTATTTGCGCCGCCTTTCTTTTTCTTGTAAAGTCTGTTATTTTGTATCCTGGCTTCGGGACCATCAGTAGAGATCCTTGTTTCACCATCTCTGCCTAATGCCTACTGTCTATCCTGCACCGCACCTGGGTCACACCTCACACCAACCCTTACAATTTTGGCCATTATTTTGGCTACCATGGCTATGCCCCGATAGGATGACAATGCCCCCATCCACAGGGCACAAGTGGTCACTGAATGATTTGATGAGCATGAAAACAATGTAAACCACATGCCATGGCCGTCTCAGTCACCAGATCTCAACCCAATTGAACACTTATGGGAGATTCTGGAGCAGCACCTGAGACAGCGTTTTCCACTACCATCAACAAAACACCAAATGATGGAATTTCTCATGGAAGAATGGTGTCGCATCCCTCCAATAGCGTCCCAGACACTTGTAGAATCTATGCCAAGGCGCATTGAAGCTGTTCTGGCTCGTGGTTGCCCAACACCCTATTAAGACACTGGCGCAGTGGTCTAAGGCACTGCATCGCAGTGCTAGCTGTGCCACTAGAGATCCTGGTTCGAATCCAGGCTCTGTCGTAGCCGGCTGCGACCGGGAGACCCATGGGGCGGCGCATAATTGGCTCTGCATCGTCCAGGGTAGGGGAGGGAATGGCCGGCAGGGATGCTCAGTTGGTAGAGCATGGCGTTTGCAACGTCAGGGTTGTGGGATAATTTCCCACGTGGGGCCAGTATGAAAAATAAAAGTATGTATGCACTCACTAACTGTAAGTCGCTCTGGATAAGAGCGTCTGCTAAATGACTAAAATGTAAATGTAATGTTGATGTTTCCTTTATTTTGGCAGTTACCTGTAGATGAATGATGCAACACAATATAAAAGTGAGGTAGTAGTGGGTTATGTTGGTCATTAAGACTAGGAAGTCATACCACTCTAGTTATCAACCAGAAACAACAGGGTGTGGGAAAGAGGGAGAGAGGAGGAAAGAGAGAGAGAGAGAGTTAAATAAAGAGATATAAAGTGAGAGGCAGAAGAAGAGGGAGAGAGAGAGGGCAGGGAGAGTAGGAGAGAGAGAAGGTCATGGTCTGTATAATATCAGCGTCCTGCTAAAAGATAGAACTCCATAGAGCGCTTTACTAGCCCTGTTGCCTGGCCTGTTGTCCTTCCCATCTATCCCATTCTGTCGCTCTCAGTACCGTTCCCTGTAGACAGGTCTCCAACACAGTTCAGCCCAAGGAAATTAGGGCAGGGGAGAATGCATTTACACAAATCTCTCCTCATCTTTAAAGGGAACCCAGCCATGCATCAGCCCCAGGAGAATCCCAACGGGACCTCACAGGCTCTATACTGGTCATGGACCGAATGAATGAATGGTGTGTGTGTGTGTGTGTGTGTGTGTTTGTGTGTGTGGTTGTCCTACCTAAGCCTCTTGGCCTTGTCGTCGGCAGCCTGCAGCTTCCTCAGCCTCATTCTCTCCCTGGGGGTCATTCTGTCTAGCTCTGACTTCTCCCTCAGTGTCTGCAGGTGCACCTTCCTCTGCCTGTTCAAAGGGCAAAGGGCAACTGTCAGAGGTTGGGAGGGCTGGAGCATTGGTGAGTAAGATAGGTCAGAGGTCAGATACTCCTACACACAATTACCTCTGCTCTGTTCATTAAAAAATGTATATTTGCTGTCTTAATGGGATTTTGAATTTACCATGGCAAAAAGAGATACTGTGCACTGTAAACACTCCAGTGTGGTGGGTTTGATTTAATTATAGTGTTTACCTTTTGGAGGTCACTTCCTATGTAAATGTAAATACGTCTTTCAACATGTAATGTATGTAACAAGGTCATTTAGAGTGAGATGGGCAGTAATCAGACAAACAATTTACATGTGAAAGAGATTATCTAATCCAGAGGGATATTAATTGGAGATTCAAATCTGTCTCCCACGATCCTCTAACCAGAATTTATGCCCTAACCCTAAACCTAACCCTCAACCTAGCTTCATGTCCACATCCCAGTTCAACCCTAGCCTCATATTACCTTGATTTATCTTGACTAACCTGTACCCCGCACGTTGACTGGTACCGGTACCGCACATTGACTGGGTACCAGTACCGCACATTGACTGGGTCCCTGTACCGCACATTGACTGGGTACCAGTACCGCACATTGACTGGGTCCCGGTACCGCACATTGACTGGGTCCCGGTACCGCACATTGGGTACCGGTACCGCACATTGACTGGGTCCCTGTACCGCACATTGACTGGGTCCCTGTACCGCACATTGACTGGGTCCCGGTACCGCACATTGGGTCCCGGTACCGCACATTGGGTACCGGTACCTCACATTGACTGGGTCCCTGTACCGCACATTGACTGGGTACCGGTACCGCACATTGGGTCCCTGTACCGCACATTGACTGGGTCCCGGTACCGCACATTGACTGGGTACCGGTACCACACATTGACTGGGTCCCGGTACCGCACATTGACTGGGTCCCGGTACCGCACATTGGGTACCTGTACCGCACATTGACTGGGTACCGGTACCACACATTGACTGGGTCCCGGTACCACACATTGACTGGGTCCCGGTACCACACATTGACTGGGTCCCTGTACTGCCTGTATATAGCCTTGTAATTGTTATTTTACTGTGCTACTTTTTTTTATTCTTCTTTAGTTTATTTATTTTATTTTTAGCAAATATTTTCTTACTTACTTTTAAAAAAGTCTGCATTGTTGGTTAAGGGCTTGTAAGTAAGCATTTCACGGAAAGGTCTACACCTTTTGTATTCGGCGCATGTGACAAATTTGATTTGAACCCTAACCCTAGCTTCATGTCCACATCCCAACCCTAACCCCAACCACATCCCTTACCCAAGCTTCATGCCCACATCCCAGTTCAACCCTAACCCTAGCTTCATGCCCACATCCCAGTTCAACTCTAACCCTAGCTTCATGTCCACATCCCAGTTCAACCCTAACCCTAGCTTCATGTCCACCTCCCAGTTCAACCCTAACCCTAGCTTCATGTCCACATCCCAGTTCAACCCTAGCTTCATGTCCACATCCCAGTTCAAACCTAACCCTAGCTTCATGTCCACATCCCAGTTCAACCCTAACCCTAGCTTCATGTCCACATCCCAGTTCAACCCTAACCCTAGCTTCATGTCCACATCCCAGTTCAACTCTAACCCTAGCTTCATGTCCACATCCCAGTTCAATCCTAGCTTCATGTCCACCTCCCAGTTCAACCCTAACCCTAGCTTCATGTCCACATCCCAGTTCAACCCTAACCCTAGCTTCATGTCCACATCCCAGTTCAACCCTAACCCTAGCTTCATGTCCACATCCCAGTTCAACCCTAACCCTAGCTTCATGTACACCTCCCAGTTCAACCCTAACCCTAGCTTCATGTCCACCTCCCAGTTCAACCCTAACCCTAGCTTCATGTCCACCTCCCAGTTCAACCCTAACCCTAGCTTCGTGTCCACCTCCCAGTTCAACCACAATTCTAACTCTAACTCTAAGGTGTGTAGAATTCCATTAAACAAGTCATCAGGGGAAGTATGTAAAAAGTGGAATAACACAATCATGTCACTGACCAGTTAATAAGCGTAACATCATATCAGAGAATCATATCATGCATAATCTCAAGTTAATCACAATTTCTCACAACCATATCGCATTGTCCATATGCTACCAAGGCACCTTGGCAAGTCATTACAGATGCGGTCTGTCAGGCACCAAATGACATGATCGTGGCAATCCTAAAGAGATGGGTGTGGTTAATGCTAAAACCTAGACCTAATCTGGGCTTTCTCTGTAGCATGTTACACCTGGCTGCTCTGACATCTAGGAGTGTGTGGCCAGCTAAGCTAATGATGACAGGCACCTTCCCTGATTGGTGCCAGTTTGAATCAGTGACGGTCTGGTTTGTTTAAGAGACAGCTGCTACTAACTGTGCTTCCATGTCTGAGTGAGTGAGAAAATGTGAGTGTGAGGAAGTGAGAGAGAGAGAGGGAGATTGAGAGAGAGAGAGAGAGAGAAAGATAGAGAGGGGGTTATGTAGAGGGACAGAGTATGGCAGTATTTGTGTGTGTTTGGGTAAATGCTTGAAAATCCCTCTGTACTGATGCAGCCACATAGCTCTAAACTGAGGAGCCAGTGTTCATTCTTCATGTCTGAGGATGATAGTGGTTTTAGTTATTCTCTTAATAACCCAAACCAAAGACAAACCATACAGAATATAGAGCATGTCCTTACATCGCTTTCAATATCTGTGCTGCGTCTCTTTCTACTGCCGATGACTTGTCTCTCAGTGTCAGACTGCAGAACTTGTGTTTTAAGATCTGGAGAGAGAGAGAGAGAAAGACAGAGAAAGAGAAAGGGAGGGGGAAAGAGAGAGAATAAAAGAGAAAGAGAGAGATAAAGGTTGACATGATCAATATTATTGCTTTATTACTAACAGTCTAGTGTCTCTCTCTCTCTCAGCATTATAGAGGGTGGTACTATCTCTGTGTCCCGCATTCTCTCACTGAAATCTTTTAACAAGAGAAAAGAGGGACATGGAGGGTAAACCACAGGGGAGAGAGTGAGAGAGAGGAAGAGAGAAAAAGAGCGATAGAGAAAGAGAGCGATAGAGCGCGAGAGAGGGAGGGAATATTCACAGGACAATAGAAGAAACTTGTCATGGACACCAGTCACGCCCCACACTGGATACAAATAGAGGGAGAGATGGAGGAGGAAGAGAGATGGAGGAGGAGAGATGGAGGAGGAGAGTTGGAGGAGGAGAGATGGAGAAGGAGGAGGAGAGATGGAGGAGGAGGAGGCGTGGAGATATGGAGGAGGAGAGACGGCGGAGGGAGAGATGGAGGAGAGATGGAGGAGGAGAGAGAGGAGGAGAGATGGAGGAGGAGAGATGGAGGAGGAGGAGATATGGAGGAGGAGAGATGGAGGAGGCGGAGGGAGAGATGGAAGAGGAGAGATAGAGGAGGCGGAGGGAGAGATGGAGGAGGAGAGATAGAGATGGAGGAGGAGAGGGAGAGATGGAGGGATAGAGATGGAGGAGAGACGGAGGAGGAGAGATAGAAAAGAGACATCAAATAACCATTGTGTTGTATGTCATCACAGAACAGCCAGGCAACACTAATGACCATGTTTACCGAGAAGGAGACACAACAGTGTCAGGCTAGCATACAGACAAACAAGGGGATAGCCACATCATACACTTTACTTGCACATTCAGCCATAGGTGCTAGAGAGAAATGCAATGCATAAAATGCAGTGATGAAAGACAGAAAGATGAACAGAATACATCATGTACAGTCAGGTTACCAAACTGCACAAGGCAGAAACTAAACACAGACCACCAGACGTGTCCATGTAATGTGGACATTTACATACATGCTTGTCAGATACAGTACATTATTTGACATCTCACATGAGCTTAGCTGGCTTTACGTTTCAGTGAGCTTCATATTCCTGTGTGTGTGTGTGTGTAAGACACATTATGCGTATATGAATGTGTGCATGCGTTCATAATTGTCAAAAAGAATGTGGACGACAGATGAAATACTGATTTTCTAACCTGTCATGGTAGAAAAGGTCATGAACACAGAAAATGTGTTGTGGAAAAAAGGGAACTATGACAGGAAGTCAATTTAGCATTGAGTATTTCCAACCAGCCAATAGGCTTGATTAGTCTGTGATTCTGGTACCGTAGCTCCGCCCATTTGACCTTTGGAGCCACCCCAATCAATCAACCAACCAATCAGTCAGCCTTAAGAAGTATTTATATTGTTGTGATGTGTGTTATGTTTCCAGGATAGGTCTAACCTGCATACTGTCCTCAATGAAATTTGTCTTCAGAGCTTCTGCAGCAGAGAGCCTGGACAACGGGGTTTTCTCCAGCATCCTGGGACCAAAAAGAGAGACAGTCTATGGTTATGGCTAAGTTAAGGGTTTGAAGTAGGGTAAGAGTTTCTTTATCCTGTATCTTTTTGTACACTTTGAAGCACTACGTGAGAGAATTGGACTCTGACCTATGTGTTATTGAGTGTACATTCTCCAGCGAATACCTTCTCACCTTTGCATGAGTGCGTTGAGCTCCAGAGAGTAGCTGGCTGTCAGTCTGGGGGTTTCCCCCTCCACTATCTTCATCACAACTGACAATAAGTTGTGTCCTTCAAAGGCGTGTGACAGTCCATCTGTCACACCTCCACAGCCCACCATCTCTCTCACACCTCCACCTACCTCCACAGTCCACCATCTCTCACACCTCCACCTACCTAAGTCCACCATCTCTGTCATACCTCCACCTACCTCCACAGTCCACCATCTCTCTCACACCTCCACAGTCCACCATCTCTCTCACACCTCCACAGTCCACCATCTCTCTCACACCTCCACCTACCTCCACAGTCCACCATCTCTCACACCTCCACCTACCTCCACAGTCCACCATCTCTCTCACCTCCACCCACCTACACAGTCCACCATCTCATACATCCACCTAGCTACACAGTCCACCATCTCTCTCACACCTCCATCCACCTACACAGTCCACCATCTCTCACAACTCCACCTACCCCCACAGTCCACCATCTCTCACACCTCCACCTACCTACACAGTCCACCATCTCCCTCACACCTCCACAGTCCACCATCTCTCTCACACCTCCACCTACCTACACAGTCCACCATCTCTCACACCTCCACCTACCTACACAGTCCACCATCTCTCTCACACCTCCACCTACCTACACAGTCCACCACCTCTCTCACACCTCCACCTACCTACACCATCTCTCACACCTCCACCTACCTACACAGTCCACCATCTCCCTCACACCTCCACAGTCCACCATCTCTCTCACACCTCCACCTACCTACACAGTCCACCATCTCTCACACCTCCACCTACCTACACAGTCCACCACCATCTCTCACACCTCAACCTTCCGACACAGTCAACCATCTCTCTCACACCTCCACCTACCTCGACAGTCCACCATCTCTCTCACACCACCCACCGACACAGTCCACCATCTCTCACAACCTCCACCTACCTCGACAGTCCACCATCTCTCACACCTCCACAGTCCACCATCTCTCTCACACCTCCACCTACCTCGACAGTCCACCATCTCTCACACCTCCACAGCCCACCATCTCTCTCACACCTCCACCTACCTCCACAGTCCACCATCTCTCACACCTCCACCTACCTAAGTCCACCATCTCTGTCATACCTCCACCTACCTCCACAGTCCACCATCTCTCTCACACCTCCACCCACCTACACAGTCCACCATCTCTCACACATCCACCTAGCTACACAGTCCACCATCTTTCTCACACCTCCACCTACCTACACAGTCATCATCTCTCAAACCTCAACCTTCCTACACAGTCAACCATCTCTCTCACACCTCCACCTACCTCGACAGTCCACCATCTCTCTCACACCACCCACCTACACAGTCCACCATTTCTCTCACAGCTCCACCCACCTACACAGTCCACCAGCTCTCACACACCTCCACCCACCTCCACAGTCCACCATCTCTCTCACACCTCCACCTACCTACACAGTCCACCACCTCTCTAACACCTCCACCTACCTACACCATCTCTCACACCTCCACCTACCTACACAGTCCACCATCTCCCTCACACCTCCACAGTCCACCATCTCTCTCACACCTCCACCTACCTACACAGTCCACCATCTCTCACACCTCCACCTACCTACACAGTCCACCACCATCTCTCACACCTCAACCTTCCGACACAGTCAACCATCTCTCTCACACCTCCACCTACCTCGACAGTCCACCATCTCTCTCACACACCACCCACCGACACAGTCCACCATCTCTCACACCTCCACCTACCTCGACAGTCCACCATCTCTCACACCTCCACAGCCCACCATCTCTCTCACACCTCCACCTACCTCGACAGTCCACCATCTCTCACACCTCCACAGCCCACCATCTCTCACACCTCCACCTACCTCCACAGTCCACCATCTCTCACACCTCCACCTACCTAAGTCCACCATCTCTGTCATACCTCCACCTACCTCCACAGTCCACCATCTCTCTCACACCTCCACCCACCTACACAGTCCACCATCTCTCACACATCCACCTAGCTACACAGTCCACCATCTTTCTCACACCTCCACCTACCTACACAGTCATCATCTCTCAAACCTCAACCTTCCTACACAGTCAACCATCTCTCTCACACCTCCACCTACCTCGACAGTCCACCATCCTCTTCACACCACCCACCTACACAGTCCACCATTTCTCTCACAGCTCCACCCACCTACACAGTCCACCAGCTCTCACACACCTCCACCCACCTCCACAGTCCACCATCTCTCTCACACCTCCACCTACCTACACGTCCACCATCTCTCACACCTCCACCTACCTCGACAGTCCACCATCTCTCTCACACCACCCACCTACACAGTCCACCATTCTCTCACAAATCCACCTACCTCCACAGTCCACCAGCTCTCTCACACCTCCACCTACCTCGACAGTCCACCATCTCTCACACCTCCACAGCCCACCAGCTCTCTCAAACCTCCACCTACCCCCTCCACAGTCCACCATCTCTCACACCTCCACCTACCTAAGTCCACCATCTCTGTCATACTTCCACCTACCTCCACAGTCCACCATCTCTCTCACACCTCCACCTACCTCCACAGTCCACCATCTCTCTCACACCTCCACCCACCTACACAGTCCACCATCTCTCACACCTCCACCTACCTACACAGTCCACCATCTCCCTCACACCTCCACAGTCCACCATCTCTCTCACACCTCCACCTACCTACACAGTCCACCATCTCTCACACCTTCCAACCTACCTACACAGTCCACCACCATCTCTCTCACACCTCCACCTTCCGACACAGTCAACCATCTCTCTCACACCTCCACCCACCTCCACAGTCCACCATCTCTCTCACACCTCCACCTACCTACACGTCCACCATCTCTCACACCTCCACCTACCTCCGACAGTCCACCATCTCTCTCACACCTACCCACTCACAGTCCACCATCTCTTCACACTCCACCTACCTACACAGTCCCCCAACCTCATCTCACACCTCCAACCTACTCCACCAGTCCACCATCTCTCTCACAACTCCACCTACCTCACAGTCCACCATCTCTCTCACACCTACCCCACCTACACAGTCCACCATCTCTCACACCCACCTACCTCGACAGTCCACCATCTCTCACACCTCCACTACCCACCACATCTCTCTCACACCTCCACTACCTCGCACAGTCCCACCACTCTCACACATCCCACCAAGTCCACCATCCTCTCACACCTCAACCTCCCTCCACAGTCCCCACATCTCCCTCACCACACTCACCCACCACTCACAGTCCACCTCTCTCACACTCCACCTACTCACAGTCCACCACATCTCAACCTCCACTACCTACAAGTCTCCTCTCTCACCTCACCCCTCCCGACACAGCCTCACCACTCCTCCCACCTCCCCCCCTCCACCTACCCCACGTCCACCATCTCTCTCACATACCTCTCACACCTACCACCACAGTACCCGTCCCATTTTCTCACACTCCACCCTACCTACACAGTCCACCCTCTCCACACCTCCACCACCTCACAGTCCACCACTCTCTCACACCTCCACCTACCTACACAGTCCACCATCTCTCACACCCTCCACCTACCTCGACAGTCCACCATCTCTCTCACACCACCCACCTACACAGTCCACCATTCTCTCACACTCCACCACCCCACAGTCCACCAGCTCTCTCACACCTACCGACCGTCCACATCTCTCACACCTCACAGTCCCACCATCTCTTCAACCTCCAACCTACCTACCCCGTCCACCATCTCTCTCACACCTCCCCCACCTACACAGTCCACCATCTCTCACACATCCACCTCCACCAGTCCACCATCTTTCTCACACCTCCACCTACCTCCACAGTCCACCACTCTCTCAACCTCCACCTCCTACCAGTCCCACCATCCTCTCACAACTCCCTACCTCCAGTCCACATCTCTCACACCTCCACCTACCTCGACAGTCCACCATCTCTCCCACAACCTCCCCCTACCTACACAGTCCACCATTTCACACCCACCTCCACAGTCCACACTCTCAACTTCCACCTACCTACACAGTCACCACCTCTCTCACACCTCCACCTACCTACACAGTCCACCATCATCTCTCACACCTCCACCCACCTACACAGTCCACCATCTCTCACACCTCCACCTACCTACACAGTCCACCATCTCTCACACCTCCACCTACACCACAGTCCACCATTCTCTCACAACCTCCACCTACCTCGACAGTCCACATCTCTCACACCTCCACAGCCCACCATCCTCTCACACCTCACACCTCGAGTCCACCATCTCTCACACCTCCCTACCTAAGTCCACCATCTCTTCAACCTCCACCTACCTCCACACCACATCTCTCACACCCCTCCACTACCTCACAGTCCACCATCTCTTCACCACCTCCACCTACCTCCACATCCACCATCTCTCCACACCTCCACCTACCTACACTCAACCATTCCACATCCCTCTCACACCCCACACCCATCTCTCACCCTCCACCTACCTACACATCTCCACTCCCTCACACCTCCACAGTCCACCATCTCTCACACCTCCACCTACCTCACAGTCCACCATCTCTCACACCTCCACCTACCTACACAGTCCACACTCTCTCACACCTCACCTACCACACAGTCCACCATCTCTCACACCTCCACCTCCACACAGTCAACCCATCTCTCACAACCTCCACCTACCGCAACAGTCCACCATCTCTCTCACACCTACCCCCACACAGTCACATTCTCACACCTCACAGTCCACCATCTCTCACACACCTCCACCTACCTACACAGTCCACCATCTCCTACACACTCAACCTCTCACACAGTCCACCATCTCTCCACCCCCACCTACCCTGACAGTCCACCATCTCTCACAACCTCCACAGCCCACCATCTCTCACTCACCACCTCACCAACCTCACCTCCCACATCTCACCATCTTCTCACACCTCCACCTACCAAGTCCACCAATCTTGTCATACCTCCACCCTACCCCAAAGTCCACATCTCTCTCACACCATCCACCCACCACACAGTCCACCATCTCTCACAACC